TATACGTCTCATAACCGCAGTTCACACATATGTTTGTTGTTGTTTGATTTATCATCTACGGGTTTATATCGAATTAATTTGATGGCCTGCTCCCAGTTGGCTTGTTAGCTCAATTGGTAGAGCGCTGCACTAGTATCGCAGAGGTCAGTGGTTCGAATCCCGTACAGGCCTGAAATTTTTTTCAGGTCTGATTTTCACTATTGCTCAAATAGTGCTTTACTGCGAAGGATCGTTCTCATATACGTCTCATAACCGCAGTTCACACATATGTTTCATATGTTTGTTGTTGTTTGATTTATCATCTACGGGTTTATATCGAATTAATTTGATGGCCTGCTCCCAGTTGGCTTGTTAGCTCAATTGGTAGAGCGCTGCACTAGTATCGCAGAGGTCAGTGGTTCGAATCCCGTACAGGCCTGAAATTTTTTTCAGGTCTGATTTTCACTATTGCTCAAATAGTGCTTTACTGCGAAGGATCGTTCTCATATAAGTGTCGAAACAGTTTATCAAGGGATAAAGTGTCCTTATTAGCGGCATGGTTAACCAGCAATCTGGTAACATTTCTCACGCCTCGCAAACCTTTATCTCTCATCTTGCTCTAGCTTTGCTGCATTCTGTTAAATGTCTTCTGCTGAATCGCAAAGACCGACTGGGATTGACATAATCCTCTTTCCTGTTGCTCTAGCTATAATTCTTTCCATGATATCTTTAAGATTCTCCCGTTCGATTTGCCTGTACTTCTTGTCGCTTTTAAGCTATCCTAAGCGAAGACTTTGTGATCGCTGAACTCCCGCCAATTTCAGCTTTTCTAGTTTATGCTCATACCGTTCACCATCAGAAAGTTATTTCGGGCCATGGTGGGGCTATGATACACAATGTTATCTCTAAGATATATGGGTTCGAGTCATGTCTTGAATGAAAAACTCCCTCGCTTCCAATGAACTTTTATATTGCAGTCAACCTGAGAGGATCAATTATTTACTTATGTTAGCGCGATAACCTCAGTCGTTCTACAGGCGAACTCGTTGAGGAACGAAATAGAAATAATTAGCGCGGCCTCTTTAGTTCCCAATCTGTTACATCTTTGCGTGCACACTGGTTTTTCAGCGCAGAGGGTACGGGTAAGAAGATGGTAGTTTTTGCACTAAAGCATAGAAGCGAACCCTAGAGGACGTTGTGATTTTTCCCTGCTCTGATGCTTTATCGCCGACCTACAGAGGAAACGACACCATTACCACGTTGAAATGTAGGTATTCCGTAAAGGGTTTACATGTATTACACTTAGTCTAGCTTCACGAACAAATTTACTTCGGACACAGATACCAACGCCACAATACACGCTCAGAAACGAAGCAAAAATCGCGTTACTGAGAGCTAGATATATATACGGAAGACGTGTATCTTGAAAAGTAAGAATTTCATGAAGTTGTATTTGAATTCAGTACCTATACCGCTAGATAGTATAATACTTATATTTTATTTCATCTATCCACGCATGAATAGAAAATGGTTTCAAATCACTTTAATATTTCAGAGAAAAGTATTTTATGCTTTTCAGTATCTATATTTGGTTGCGAAATCGAAATAGAAGCCAACGGAGAGGGGAAGAGTAGAGTAGAGTAGACATCTATATTTATACAGGCTAGCCCCTTCAGTGTAGTAAACACTGATATCAACGGGGGTCCTGGTACCCACCCATCCCACCCCAGGGATTCATCACACAGTAATCTTGTGCGTGGGAAATTAACGTCTCCTGCCCCTAACCCTGCAGGAGACGGGACCTCCATTTATTCGTCCCTATCCGAGAAGACTAGAATATCTAACCATTTCTTGAATTATAGAAAGGTAGCATATTCTTCTCAATTATTTTAAGACCCTTAGTGTTGGTCCGGCCGGGACTCGAACCTGCGTCCTCCCGCACAACGGTCCAGCGCTCTATCCATTGAGCTAACCGGGAGGCGGTTAAAGAAGAACAGATTCGTAATGGTTGATTTAAGGGTCCTAGTTTAAAATACTCATACGTGATATTGGTTAGCCGCTTGGAGACTGGAGCCTACCCCACGTAGGAAATGAAGGTCTTTTCAATATTTGTCATAAATATTCCTGATATGCATTAGTTTTTCTTCAGTTTCTCTGAGACTCTTCCAGAATACTCTCACCATCTCCTAAACCTTTCAGTTGCGAAATTAAATCCAGTCACGACTTGGTCATTCCTGTATAGTCACTCTCCTTGAGTTGTGTATTTGCCTCCTCAGTGAGTTATATTTTTTTTTTCAAGACAGGTAATTGTGACAACATTGGTTTTGGTCTAATAAGTCTGGATTGAAAAGCGCCAATCGAGTTGCAACAAACCAGAAAGGAACGATAACCATCACGAGAGGAAAACAGAATGCCAGCGCAGGGATTTTGTTGGCGAAAACATGACAATGTTGTAGATATTACGGTGACAACCATTATAGAAAGGAACTTTGGATCGATATCTCCGTCTTTCACCTTGCATTTTCCTATTTTTGTTGATATACGAGAATGGCGAAGCGACTTTCCGGTAAATTTTAAAGTGTCTAAAGCTTATTTTCACTACTGCTTAGGTAGTGTTCATTACTGCGTAGCTTACTTTCATAACCATTTCTTAATTCTTAATTCTTAAATCCGCAGTTCACAGATACGATTTTCATACATTTACAGTTGGTTGCAATTCAAAAGACCTAAGAGATCCAGACACAGCAGTAATATATATCCTATAAAATATCTCCTGCCAAAATATTGGGAAAATCCTGATCGCAGCTTTGGAGAGTAGTAAAACATAAATGATGGGATGATCCCGTAGAACTAATTTGAAATTGAATATAGCTTTTAAAAACGACTTACTAATGATAACTTTAGTCCAATTTTTTTTCATCTGGGTTGGTTGTTGGTATCTTCAAATATGAAAGATACTGACCTCCCAGAGCTTTAAAGAGAAAAAGCAAAACTTGAGGATAGAAAAAAAAAAAAAAACCCAGAAACTAGCTTTGCTGCTCAAAAATGCTTAAACTTTAATCCTTTGCCTCTGTATCCCAAACCAAATGAAACCGATCAGTAAAGTATAAGATCAGCAGGCTATGAAAAATCCTCCAAGGAATATTTCGGCTGTTTAAAGTCTCCAAACGTGTCACTTAAACCATCGCCTTTGCAACTCTTTGAATGATCATCCCTATCTAAAGTTGTTAGATAGTTATTAGTGTCGAAACAACAACAAACATATGGAACATATGTGTGAACTGCGGTTATGAGACGTATATGAGAACGATCCTTCGCAGTAAAGCACTATTTGAGCAATAGTGAAAATCAGACCTGAAAAAAAATTTCAGGCCTGATTTTCAGTCCCGTACAGGCCTGAAATTTTTTTTTTTTTTCAGGTCTGATTTTCACTATTGCTCAAATAGTGCTTTACTGCGAAGGATCGTTCTCATATACGTCTCATAACCGCAGTTCACACATATGTTTCATATGTTTGTTGTTGTTTGATTTATCATCTACGGGTTTATATCGAATTAATTTGATGGCCTGCTCCCAGTTGGCTTGTTAGCTCAATTGGTAGAGCGCTGCACTAGTATCGCAGAGGTCAGTGGTTCGANTAGTTGCAGGGCATGCGCAATGCATCATAAAATTCTGTCTTTCAAATGTACGCCATTATGAAGTTTTTTAGACTATTCTCGAAAAGACATTTGAGTGAATTAAAAGGACTGTTATCTAGTCCTTCACGCTGTTTTTGTAAAACGTTTCCATTGGAATTATTGGCATATCAGCTGAAATTTTGTGGTTCCTTAACCCACACGAATGAAACAGCGCTTTTCATGATACTGCTTAAAAAAGGTGCTTCCAGCTAAAAAACGGTGCTTCTAACAAAAACGCCATCAGAAGTGCTAAATTTCCTTAAAGATTGAGAACGTGTTAAAAAGCGTTTTATTTAATAAGCTGAATTATGTGCGGATTTTGATTGGTTCTTGCTTAGGATCTATTACAAGACAGACGCGTAAATAACGTCACCGTCCATTAGCGGCATTTTGCCTTTTGTACATGAGAACGATCCTTCGCAGTAAAGCACTATTTGAGCAATAGTGAAAATCAGACCTGAAAAAAAATTTCAGGCCTGATTTTCAGTCCCGTACAGGCCTGAAATTTTTTTTTTTTTTCAGGTCTGATTTTCACTATTGCTCAAATAGTGCTTTACTGCGAAGGATCGTTCTCATATAAGTGTCGAAACAGTTTATCAAGGGATAAAGTGTCCTTATTAGCGGCATGGTTAACCAGCAATCTGGTAACATTTCTCACGCCTCGCAAACCTTTATCTCTAATCTTGCTCTAGCTTTGCTGCATTCTGTTAAATGTCTTCTGCTGAATCGCAAAGACCGACTGGGATTGACATAATCCTCTTTCCTGTTGCTCTAGCTATAATTCTTTCCATGATATCTTTAAGATTCTCCCGTTCGATTTGCCTGTACTTCTTGTCGCTTTTAAGCTATCCTAAGCGAAGACTTTGTGATCGCTGAACTCCCGCCAATTTCAGCTTTTCTAGTTTATGCTCATACCGTTCACCATCAGAAAGTTATTTCGGGCCATGGTGGGGCTATGATACACAATGTTATCTCTAAAATATAATTCCGATTATTCCGTGTTATCATGTAATAAAAATGCCACCCAAAAGCTAAAATAGAAGGAGCAAGAGAACAGAGAAGGTGACAATCTTTGCTGATGTAGACAATTTAATATTTCACCCATGATATCTTAACAGTAAGTCTTATTTGCAAACAAAAGAAAAAGGATCCCAAATTTTTCGTAACTATTTAAACTGTTAGGTTAGGTGATTGATATTTTTAGCAATAGTTCGTCAGTTTTTCTCTGATCTTGTTTGTTTAGTCTTTACATCGTAGTTGGAGAGACTTAATCATCAGTGCAATCCTGCGGTAAAAATAGCGGAAGAAAATGTTTAGTCAGTGACTAACTAGAGGTATTGCTTCTCCTCTCCTCTAACTTCATCGGAGGTTTTTCCTTCCCTTCCCGAACAGTTCTTTGGGTTTCCCTTACAGATCGTTGGATCCTCGGCTTTAATTGCTTGTAATCCCCAATAAATCAATTCTATAGGAAAAGGTATAAACTCTCTTAATAGAAAGACCAGAAGCTATTCAATAACTTTGCCATGTTAGTCGTACTTTTCAAGTGGTTATTTTGTAGCTTCTGTCTCTGTAAATAGCAGGCAAACAAAACATCATCTTGTCACAAAAACACAAGTTATTTCTATATTTTTCTTTACATGCATCTGGCTCAGAAAAAATTGTGGTTGTAAACCAGTTTGGGAGAACGGCCATATCTAAGTATAATTAACCAGCCGTTAGAGAGAGGATGCAACAGGAGAGAAAAAAAAGATGCAATGGAATCGATGCTCTTTTGGGACGTGGTACCTTGGTGCTCAGTCCCTTAGGGAAATGAATTCGAAAAAAAGACTCAGTTTCAGTGTTGCTTTCATTTCGTACGACAGCATTTCTCACATTTGTCTCAGGAAGTTAAATCAAAATATTCTCTGTAATTTTACAGCCGGCTGCGGGAATCCCGAGCGGACCAGATGGGCCCATCTTGCCCGCTCGAGATCGCCCCGTCTGAGACAGACTAAAACCTGTCAGTTTTGGATTCTTACTTACCAGTTTAGTCAACAAACTTGTACACAAAATTGATATGTTTACGTCCCACTCCTTCCCAACAGTAATAAAAGTTATCTTCACCGTAAGGCAGGGCACCGTATGTATCGTACGTCTTTGTACCATTGGAACCCGAGAAGCATTCACCATAGAATTGAAGGCTAAACACCTCCAGGCTGGGATCTGTCTCCGCTGTCGCATTAGCGCATTTCTCCACAATCTCGGACATGTCATGCCAGTTAATACCCTTCCTAAAGTTTTTGATTAGTTGTGGCAGGGCTCTAGGGCTACCATCCTTGAAACATCCTAATGGTTCGTACGTTCGATCACCTGAGAGTTTAGGGTAGAATGGCGTATAGATATAAATATCCACGATAAAATTCGGGATGGCAATAGCATGAATATTTTGACACTAATGCGGTGATGATAAAAAATAATAGTAGTTACGATACCAGTAGTGATGATGATGATAAAAACGTTTTAAACAGCTTATTAGTTGATTTAGTGGCCTCAGGCTTTGAAAACGTGCAGTTTGACATTTTTTTTCTTTTCACAGATCCTGCGAAAATAAAATTCTATCAAATAAAGCAAACATTTTCTCGTTTAAACCTTTACTTTTACATTCGTCCGTTTTATAATTTTTGCTTTCGTTCATTTGTTCGCCCGTCCGCTTTTCCATTTACTCGCCTATCGCTTAGTTGCTGGCTAAAGCGTTCATTTGTTATATTTCTGTAATGATATACATGAAAAGAATTTACGCGTGTCTAATTGGCTGAAAACGATTGCATTTTTCATATAACACGAGTGCAAATTACAAATAGCAAGCGCGCTGTCAAATTTCGTCTGTTTTGACTTTGTGTGATGTTTTTTCATGAGAATTATTCACAAGTAACAACAAAATTTTTGTACAATTTGGTGTAAATAAGCACTTGTACATTTTCAACCGTTACCCATATTTATATTATTATCTATATATATATATTACTACCCATATTTATACCTGGACATTTTACATCCTGATTGCAACCTTCTTGTAGGGGAGGATCAGTCGATGTCGCGCACATGACGTCCGGAACAGGCTCAAACACACCGGTCTCTTTCATTCGCTGACAAGACTTTTTCCTGGTTTTGATTCCCGCTCCACATGATGTGGAACACTGTAAGTAACAACAAAAAAATCCCAATGATTTTTCTTTTTATCATGTAAGTGATCAAAATTAATCATATACATGTGATATCGATTTCTTCATTAAACTTTTGGAAGGGAAAGATGTCCAGTCTCCCTTCTAAAAAGTACTCCAAATTTACAATTTGCTAGACTTTATTAGTTGTGAGCTTTTTCTGTTTGGCATCAGCGTCTGATAGATAAAAAAAGGGCTCAAACCTCCTCACTACCCCCCTCGGAATAAAGGTACAAATCCATCGTATGCAATACTTCATTAATATCTGCGCCAGCTGCTCAAAGTTCCCTTAGAGGGCTTAGATTCCTTAGATATTATTTTAGTTCAAGACAATCTTGCAGATTAGCGCACTTTTCTCTGATCGACTGACATATTTACTCACTGAACAATGAAGGCATAAAATTTTTTCTGTTGTGACGTTCTTAATTTAACTTACAGCTGACCAATCTCCTGGAATGTTTTCAGCAGGGCAGTCTATCTTATTGCAGTCACGTGACACTGGGTCAGACGGTTTATTGCCAGTGCACTCGGAGTCGGATAGTGTTTGAAATTTTCCTCTGGTTACCTCTTGCCGACAAATAACTTGGCGTGTTTGCTGTCCTTTACCACATGTCCTAGAACATGGACGCCATCCGGATACGTACCAACTGGATGGTAAACAGACAAACAAACAAAAAAACAAACAAACAAACAAAAATCAGTCACAATGCGAAGATGTTAACAAAATTAGGTCATATGTGATCTATTGTTCGACAGATACGGAGTAGCATGGAATCCATTTTTTAAATAGAACGCGGTGTGATGTCAAAAATGAAGTCACATCAAAATATACTTGTACGCAACTGGTCGGAAAGTAGATTGTAAGTAAAAACGAATTAAAATACGTTTGCTCTTGAGCACCAGACAATAGATTGTCTAGGATTAATTTAATTCATCTCTATATTCATTTTGTTCTCTAAAAGTAATTTAAAAAACATCGTCAGGTAGACATTTTGATTTACTCACGTAGGAGGACAGCCCTGTGTGTTACAATCCAGTTGATGGGAGGGTTTTTGAGTCGTTTTTTGGCAAACAGCATCATTTAAATAAGTCAAATCTGATTGTAAGATGCATTCCACCGTTCTCGTTTGAACTCCTTAAAAAAATTAAATGATAATTAAGAAATTAAGATGAGTTCAATTTTTTTAAAGAACGAGACACAAAACCTCTTAAAAGAAACAACTTTTAACACTGACAGCACCGCCACTCCCAACCACACATCGCTGACTCAACTCACTCTTGGCTACAGCACTTAGGCTCGGTAGCCGCCCCTACAATACTCGGTACCAGTCTTACATTTTCCAACACTAAAATAATTCTCTTTCTCTGCACGATGTCCATATCTCATCAGTAATTCTCCTTGGTGTCTGCCATACTTTTCTTATGAGAGAGGGGTAGGTGCGTAGTTTCTCAGATAGTGACTTTGGTCCCTTTATTTTAATTTCACGATCTCTCAAGCTCGACGTCACACAGAAAAAGCTCAACAGACAACAGAGTTATAAATCACCAGGCTGCCGGTTGAATCTTCCTACCTCCTGCACATGAGTGAGTGCATACACTCCATTCGCCAATAACCCACTTAGCTGCTCCTGGTTTTAAATGCTTATCGCCGGAAGGTTTGTTTAGCGTGAAATCCACTGGTTGCCTTGCAACAAATTGCTTGTACTATAAATAGACCAGACGAGAAAAAGTGTGCAGTTGAGGCTTAATCTACTGAATGATCATATAGCAATTTCAGTAAGTTAGTCCTCTTTGTGTGTCAATGCACAAAAGGCATCGGTCGGAGAACACCACTAACATCTGTCGGTTGCCGGTTGGTCAAGTCGCCTCCATGTCGCCTCCAAGTCGCCTCCATGTTCAACCTCTGTCTTCATTGCCCTTTCTACGGTTCTCAGTAAATTCAATTAATCTCGTTTGACTCCCCCCTCCCGCCCCATAGCAGGGGATAAATAATGACTGGTGCCTAACTGGAAGAAAAGCCTAAAGTAGAAGGGAGACTAGTGCTTTACTGTTTAGTTTGAAGACTGAGTTTTGAAGGAGCCTCGTCAGCAAAGCGCAGAAGCGAGTTGAAATATGTGAATGTGTGAAGTTTTCGTATGAGTAAAGTAAGTATTTTATTTCACCACACAACCTTAAGGAGCATCTGCACTCGTTAAAAAATGTGCGCGAACATAAAATCATATAATATATATATATATATATATATATATATAAACGATTATTTAGGAAAATAAAAATTAAAACTTGGTACTACAGATCTGTTTCGAAAGGGTTAAAAGTCCTCTCTCGTCAGGTGGATAAGACACTAGTTGACTAACGATCCTTTTAAGAGCCCATGACTGTAAATATTGAGAATCGCTGGCCAAGCTGAAAAATCGAAAATTCTGATAATTTTCCTGAAAAACCCTTTTAGGGAGATATATTAGCAAAAAAAATTTCAAAGTCTGAAAAATCAAATGTTTCCGAGAAAATGGGGAAAAACGAAAATTCGGGTTTTTACCTAATTAATTATGCAAAAAATACAGTAAAATTGAGCAACTTTAGTGTGCTAGTACTGAAGGAGGATGTTTCGTAAGAAATCGGAGATGTTTTTACTTGAAAATATAATTCATTCAATTTTCATTTATC